TCACATCAATACACTCAATTAAAATTATAATGTTAACTCTGAACATACCCCAATCAACTCTCCAAGTTGATTTCCACATTCCAGATTGTTGCCTACTCTGACCCAGCGAACAATCTTGTGGCTGATATGAGCGAAATGGGTGTCAAGCTTTGATTTGCCTTCCCCTGCCTCAAAGTTGTTATACTCAACAAGAGTCAAGTTGAAGGCCCGATTTACCTCCGCAAGGTAGAGTATGAAGGCAGTATTATGATAGTGAGGGCCATTGTCTAAAATGGAATTAAAAAACATTTAATTTAAAAACGGTAATAAAATATTGCAAAATGAGAACAATAGTAATTCCTAATAAAAATTACAGTTACTAAGTATATAAAAAAAATGCTTTTTAATTCGCAGAGAAATGAAGCACAATTATTTGTTAGATCTAGTATGGCATCAAAACTAGAATCAAATGATTTAAGTGATCAATGGTACAGTAGTTTCTTGTACAATAACTGAATATGACTTGTCAGTAGTGAAAGAATTGTTTTGTTTTTGCAATACAATGTACTCCCAGCTATTTTTCACCCTTTTTATACAATGTACCTTTCATGTCAAAAACATTTGTAGCCAATAAATATTGAACTACCTTAAATGGCCCTGAAAGTTCAACAAATAAACATGTGTACTCACCAGAAAATAAATAGACCCTGAAGCCAGGCAGTTCCTTCTCCATCCACCGAAATCCGACATCCATAGCACTTTGGCTAAACCATGCATCTTGTTTTGTGTCTTCCGACCAAAGATCAATCACTTCAGTGACTTTCTTATCTTCGCTAATCTGAGCTATGACAAGAAATCCATGCAAGGAAATCCCTCGTTTTCCATACCAATCTCGCTGGGCTTCACGGCTGCGAACACCTAGTTCAAGTTTCATCTTATAGTCCACAATTACTACTGCCTCCCCAGGCTGGAGGTTGTCAAGCACAAACTTGTGGTAATCTGTCTGGTGCTTTGTACGGAACAAGTGTCCCACGTACTGTTCATGAGTTTTCATGATTTCTTGCAGTTCAGTGGTCAGTTTATCTGAATTATTTGCACTGGAAAGCGTAGATAATACATTACTGACAGTTCTCTGAACCTCATACAGAGCAGTGGCGTCTCCACAGGAACTGTCATGGGGTTCTTCACAGGAACCAAATGCATAGTTCATGCACAGTTCTGCACAAGGTGAGTGCCTCTCTACTTGTCTGGATAACTGCGTCTTACAGAAACGTTGATAATCTGCCACTCTACCTTTCATTTGCTTCATTGACACTGCAGTTGCTGACTCCACTTCAGTTAGGAGGCTGAACAATTTCTCAAAATTTGAGTGTCCACACTCATCACATATGTTGCACAGGCCTGCCAACATAGTGTTGTAACGAAAATTTGCAGGGAGGTGCGTATAGATGTAAGTGCGTTTTACACCATTGGGGAATTCCAGTAAATATTGGTTCACAAGTTCCTTGACATTGTCCTTCCAGTATCTAATAGGTGTTTCCTCACCGTCCATGACCACACTCCGACAAGATGATGGCCTGGACACACTGTCTCTCTCAAAAAATTCTGAAAGTTCTTTAAGCACTTCAGGACTTACACATTGTCGCTTAAATTTAAATTTTGACGGTGGAGTTCCACCACGTCCAAACAGAATGGAGTGGACTTTTGCCGCAGTAACTGTTTTCGATGAACAGCCAAACACCTCCTGTAAGAAGCGATATGGATAGTCCATAGCAACAATAGAAAGCAGGCGTCTTCTTTCATCTGCTTGGGAAGTCAGCCTCCCAACAGAGCTGGCTGCTTCAGTTCTGCTTTTAAAGTGTTCCGGTGTTTTCTCCCCAGTCGGTGTTATTTTGGAGTCTTTCAAGGAATTGCCAATAGCAATTTTGCCTTTCAATTTGGCCATTCTGTTCCTTTTTTCTTGGTTTTTTTCTTTCACCGCAGACTCTTGATATTCGTTGACCAATGACACCAATGTTGGGTTCAGAGATGTACTTTCATCACTGAACCCTCCACCGAAACCAAATGTAGAGTGCCATTTTTTGCTGTTTATTGTCTCTTTCAAAA